TGACAGGACAGTTTGAAGCGTGACAAGGGAGAGGGCGGAGGGACATGCAGCAAAGAGTGACAGGCCAGAATCGAGGCGATGTCTGCTACAGCAAGGACGCTGCCTTTGTGCATGGGGTGCATGATCTTCCCACTGAGCCACTGGGTGCCTCACCAACTGTAAACTTGTTGTCGTGACCACCACAGAAGGCCCCGCCTCTCAAATCATCCGATTGGACAATGGGATGACGGTTGGTGTTTTCCGCTCTGAGTGTTGTCAACCTCGAGGAGTTGAGAGCACTGTGGCAAAAACGGCAGGTGCCTAGAGCACATACACATGAGGTGCATAGCAAACACAGCGAGCAAAAAGCTTCACTCTCATTAAAAACAATTATAAAAATTTGCCTCTAGCTGCTAAAACACTTCCTGTGTGATCTGGGCCTAAAGAAGGTTAAAGGCTAAAACTTTTTCAAATGCACAAGGCCGAAAGTCGTGGACCACTGCGTCACAGCTGGTGTGATAGCATCACAATTTGGTCTGTAGTTCATATTTTGTTTTATTCCCACTCTCTATATTTGTACTATTTTCAAATTTGTGCTGCAACTGCTGCAAAACAATTTCCCTTGAGACAGAAAAAGGTTTATCTTATCTTCTGATAAACTGAGCTGGCTGAAGCTTCACGTTTAACAGACAGATATGAGAGTGGTATCAATCTTCTCATCTAACTCTTGTCAACACAGTCAATAAATGTATTTCCCAAAACATCAAACTATTCCTTTAAGGATTCTGCAAAAACCTCCAGAACAGTGATAAGTGAAAAATCAGATGCTTGGCTCTGTAACTGTGAGCGTTAATGTTAAAGCTCAAACTGGAGCTATTTCTTCGAGTGAGACCTGACGTGCACTGAGTGAGCGCTGCGAGCGTAGGATAAACTGTGACTCACATGTCTACACTGTATAAATGTCTCTTTAATTACATCCAGCCGACGCGTCTCGGTGGGTTTGAGGTTAAAAATATCCCACCTGCAGCCAGACTCGTTCTATGGGGGCTGTGTCGCTGCTGCCTCATCTTTAAGGACATTTCAGGCACAATATCCAGCACAAGAATGGAGAGTTTGTGAGGCCCTTTCAGCTCTGAGGATGAACCTGATGACATCCGCTACAACGGATCACAAAAGGCGAACTTAAACCGAGATTAAATTTACTGTCATACACAACGAACGGGGAGCGAGGCTGAGAATGAGAATGAGGTTTGTGATTTGTGCAGCAGCTCCTTCGCTCTCAGCCTCTGGTTTTATCTGCGAGCTGCAGGGATGTACATCCTCAGAATAAAATGACTTGTTGATGGGTACTCCGCCCAACACACAGACACACACACACACACACACACACACACACACATGTTATCTGAGCATCAGCAGAACACTCGCTAACAGAATCAACCTATGAACACCACAGTCCCGCTCCACAACGCGAGCATCTGCTACTATTAACGGCTGTTAATTTGTGATCTTGTCAAACGCATCTTTCCTCACCAGACGCTGCTGCTGTTACTCATCCTGCACGTATCAAACGGAGGCCTGGGCTGCAGGTTACTCTGCGTCGGCTCCTGTGATGCTACTGACGGTATTTTGTCAGGACTTCAAGCTGCCTGCTGCAGCATGTGTTTGCTTATTTCCCAGTGGATTTCTATGTTTGTTTTTCACTACAGATGAGTTTTAATTTCATTATCACACCAGGTGGTGAGGTTACAGAGATCAGAAATGATTTCAGCTCCAGTGGTGGTACATTTAAAAGCGTGCATATAAAAGCAACATATCTTCTGTTGTGTTTTTATTTGTATTGTTTTATCTTATGTTATTGTTGGGTACTTTATTTTAGTATTATTTCAACTGTCTGATTTTATTTGCCTCATTACTTTGCCTCATTATTACATTATTCTAAAAATATTTTAACCCTGTGGTGAATGAAGCACTTTCTAACTTTATTTTATTATTATATACTCAAGTACAATACTTGTACTAAAATATAGTGTATATACAGTAGCAGAAGAAGTAAAGAGTCATGGATGAGTGCATTTACATGAACATGAAAAATCCCTTTATGATGTTTTTTTGGACTACCACGTTCATGTGTTTGATCATGTAAACATGTAATCCGCTTTTTCAGAAACAAAGATAAGACTTCATGACAAACCGTTTATGACAAACCCAAATATGCTACCTGGAGCACCTTGAAAGAAACCAGGATCCTGTTGCATGTATACACCTCATCCCTGTTACTGACTACCTGCGCAGGTGCAGCTTCAGCCAAGTGACGTAGCAGAAATACAAACAATGGCAGCAGCGACAAGGCAGGGTTTTCCACACATTCATTTATTTGTGCCACGATTTAAGCATCTGCCGCCAGAAATAGATTGTCTAATTTTGGAGCTAGACCGTTCATTAGGAGTGCATTTAGAATAAACATATGTGTTTGGTTATTTATGGCAATATACTGTCAGGGCGTAGAGTGACCTCAAGGCAGAGACAGCAGCACCTGCAGCAGCTGCTCCTCTCTGTTCTGACCAGCTCTGAATGGCTCGACAAATCAATTATCCACCCTGTGAGTCACAAACTGCAGTTGAGGAGAAAAAGACCTAATGGAGAGCGCCACCTTTGCTGTGTTCCCGGACCTCCAACACCTCTGAATTTCGAGAGGGGTCACAGAATGATACAAAGGGACACCTAAAGTTTGCTGTTGACCCCACCCATCATCAGCTATCGCCACATACACTCTCATTCTGTTGGAAACACTGCAGCGTTTCACTTCTGAGACGATGAGGAAACAAGAGTTGTCACTATATTAAATCTCTAAATATTGCATATAGCTCTTTTAACAAAAAAAATTACAAATATTAGAGAAAAATACAAATAACGAACACAATTTTTTAGAGTAGAATGAATTTTCTTCTTTCCAACATCATTAAATCTTTTAAAATTTAAAACACCATCTGAGTGGACCAATTTGTCTAACTTGTGACCCTTTGGAGGGGCTTAACCCCTGGGTTGGGAACCACTGGACCATACTAGCTAACTGTACATAAAATAGTTCAAACTAGCTCGACCTGGAGCAGCTTCAACAGTAACATGCTGCTCTAACATTAGCCCCTTCACACTGCCTCTTCAAGGCGGGATGTCATGTATGTATGCTGCCTCGTTGCTCTGTATAAGTGGTACAATCCTAGAATGGGGGGACAAAGTTGTCTCGCTTTAAAGGCGGCATCGGAGGTAGAAACAATGTCTGTATAAATGAGACAGCCGGCAGGATGGGACCATGGGTGGCACCAGTGTGACATTTTGACAATGTGTTATGTGTGTGACCCACTGCGGGAGATTTAAAACCAGCTGTTAGCAGTTAGCAGCTAACTACAAGACTAAAAAACAGCAGCTGAAAATGACTGCAAATTAGGAAAACAATGAGGTCCAGGAGCTCCTTACCCTCCGAGCAGAGGATGAGATCAGCTGCCATATAGTCTGAGTGGGCGGAAGTTTGCTGCATAGATCAGCCTCTCATTGGGTGGAACGAGCCACCCGCTGAAGTCCCGCCCTACCACCTCCGGTTGCAGTTTTCAATTTGTCCCTTACTAACTTTTGCTGTGTTTGATCTTGTGGGGATGTAGCCATTTTTCTGCCATGGTTCGCGTCCTGTAGGTGATATTTTTATGGGCGTGTTACACCAAAACCTGTTTCCCCCCAGCAATATTTTTGCAAGCGCACCGTTGCTGTGGCACCGCCCAGAACGATTGTGATTGTTTGAAAGAAATAAAAAAAGCCGGGGCGTTTTTTTCTCCAATCTTAAAGTGAGAGTCGGCCCAGCCAGACCTTTCTTTTCTTGAGAAAGGTCTGGAGAGCGAGACTAGCTGCCATATAACAGGGACGATAATGGATTTTTATTGACACGGTATTGACACATGTATGTCATGTATCATACTAGAGGCTGATGCTGTTGTGTTACATGTCACGCCCATCACACCTCTGTTGATTCCATCATGCCTGCATACTATCTAAAACACGGGTGTTGAGTAAAGCCACTGCATAATTAACCTATAAACAACAACCCCTTCAAATTTTCCCTTTTTTTAGTCTGAAGACGTTCATTCTGAAAATGTTCATCCATTTACAGAACAAATGACGAACAGCCTGTGATATCCTCAGAAGAATTATGAGCAAATTCAGCAGTATGTCCCATTTTTTCCACATTCAGTTAGTCTACTTCTCACTGTCATGACATCTGCATGTTTTTGTATAATTTTCCACTAAAGCAGAAGCTGTTGAAGAAGCAGGTTAAGTCGTCCGCTGCCTTTCAAACCACCTACAATCTGAAGATTTGTCAGTGTCTCAGCAGCAGCAGGGTTCAGCTAATATTATCTTAAGATAGAAGTCTGATACTTTTGTTCTGGAGCTGCTGGTTGACAATATGTTGCGCAATGTTCAGTAGGTTTAAACACGACCACAGAAAGTATCCTCTGTTATTTCGGAGAGCTGTGTTCTGCTCAGGGTGGAAAAGCCTCTGAGACAGACAAGTATCTAGGCTATTCTGAAAGCCCTCAGCCTTCATATGTGCATCAACATCAGGTGTGCAAAGTCATCTAGTGGGCTGAGTTTGACCCTTTGGAGAGCCGGTTCTGGCCCCCAAACCAGAACACTTCTGTTTTCAGTCCTTTAAGGGTCATCATAACAGATAAGAAGAAGAAGAATAGCGTAATATCTTATATTGTGAAACCGTTCTGAGATGTACAATTAAAATCTCACACAGTTTGATTTTGTGTTAAAATGCAAAGGCAGCATAAAGAAGGGACTTCACTGCGGCGCTATAGTGTGATCTCTGTGTAGGAAGAGCTGTTGATGCATCAGTCATTGTTCTACATTGTTGTACTGACACTTTAGTTTAAGTAAAGGACCTGATTCTTCTTCCACCGCTGCTCAGCTGACAGAAAATGTTTGTTGCATCCAAACTACAGATATGAGACGCTGTCACTGACCTGCAGTCCATCTCCAGTCATGGTTCCCACTCCTTCTTCCTGTGGATGAGAAACAGCCGAGATAAGAGTCCTGCTAATGTTAATTTAACAAGGCGTGCACAGTAACACGGATTAAGAGCTTAAGAACTAATGGGCAGCTCTATGAAAGAGTGTGCTGAAGAGATTTCACACTCACGAGTCATGTTTCGAAACAATTTCCTTCCTCAATCCAGGCTGAGAAACGCAACAGTGCTGACACAGAGTAGAATAAAAATAAAGCACAATATGAACTTCACCTTATTAAGAACTGATTTCTGTGTATAAAATCCTGGATGGATGCCAAACATGTTGACCTACAGCTCATGTGATCAGCTGACACCACAACATAAAAGAGGCGTGGGCAGCAAATGAGAGAGAACGCGGCCCTGACGTGATGGCTGGGTGATGAGAGAGAGGACGAGCTATTTTTAGCTCAGGGTGGCGGTGGTGGAGATGGAGGTGGAGGGGGAGGTTGGGTGGGTGGGTGCAGGGAGCAGTGTGATGGTGGTGTTGCTGCTAGCAGGGGTTAGTTGTGATGCTTTCCTGCGTTGTGGTAACTGACAGCGATGCATCAGTGTCTGAGGACGGAGGGGAGAGCTCAGCTAATCACCGCTCACACCCATCATCTGGGCCCTCGGTCTCTTTGTGCATCTATAAACAAACATTTGATATGTTAATTAAGTCAGAGAAGATAAAGGCGTACTATCAGGAGGACAAGTTTACATTAATATGGCAACCTTTCCTTAACCATGTTGATTCTTTAGGCTCTGATGACTTTATGGCTCAGTACAGTCTTTGGTAATGATGGAAATGAAGCACTGGTAATGATTCCTGATACGTCTTAGTGTTAAAGTGTTTCTGCTTGTTTTTAATGCATGTCAGTGTTCAATAATAAGCTGCACTGCTCTACATCCCCAAAACCTTATCATTAACTATTTGTTATTCTATGTTTCTTTTAGTATGATTATTTTATATTATTTGTTTATTTATGTTATGCAATTTATTTTTTAACTATCCTTATTTTACCTTATTTGTATGTTTTTTCTTAAACAATGATTATCTTAAATTATTTGTATATTTATGTTTATATTTTTAAACTATGGCTATTTTACAATATTTGTGTATTTATGTTCATTTATTTTTAAATGCATTTATTCTAATTTATTTTAATTTATTTCTTGTATATTTATTTTAATTAATACATTTTGTAACTATGGTTATTTTACAATATCTTTATTTTTTCTATAACTATGATTATTTAACATTAATTGTATATTTGTGTTTATTTATTTTCCTTTAACTATGATTAATTTACATTTTTTGTATTATTATGTTCATTTGTGCATGTATTTTTTTCTCTAACCATTTTTACATGATATATGATATTTATGTTTATTTATTTGACTTATTTAAGTACCTCACAATATTTGTTTATTTATTATTTTCATTTTACAATATGTGTGTATCTGTTATTTTAATTTATTTCTTACAATACTTTTTTTATTTTTTTTTTGTATATTTATGTTAATTTATTTATGTATTTTTCAACAATGAGTACCTCACAATATTTGTTTATTTATTTATCTAAATTATTTATTTATTTGTTCTTTAACTATGGTTATTTTTACCATATTTGTACATTTAGGTTTATTTATTTTTCTTTAACTATGATTACTTCATGTTATTCGTACATGTATGTTAATTTTTTTTCTTTAAATACAGTTATTTTACATTATTTGTTTTTATTTCTATTTTTTCCTTTATCATTATGACACGGTTTGAGTTGGATTCCCTCTGATGTTATCATGAGCGGGGGTAGAGCGAGATGTCTAATAGTCCAGCATGTGTTTATACAGTGAACTGTCAAAGTTGTACTTAAAAAAATAAAATAAAAAAAAAAATCAGAAATGCACTTGTTAAAAAAAACAAAATTGAGGAATGAGGAAAAAAAGAATACACTGATTTATTTTCCTAATTTAAGTCTGCTTGGTTCAGATTTTCATAAAAGACCTAACTCTTGTTTTAAAGCTTTGACTCATTTAAAGTTATTTAATATACTTTCACATATTAATCTTTAATTTATATCATGTTTTATGATGTTTTTTTGCTCGCTCCAAATAACCACAAACCAACAGACGATAAATATCAAAGCTCTGTGACCTCAGTTTCATCTTTGCCCCTGCATGTCAGGAAATACATAGTTTAACCACCAGCTCATTGGATCATAGTTTGTTCATCTGACTGTTGAAATTTCGTTTTTACTGAACATAAGGTCACGACCCCTGAAGATGAAATCATTTCCTGACAAGCTTTTGGGATTTGGGAGAACAGAGATGTACAGTCGCCCATCCTTTGGTTTTGAAAGCAGGTGGTGAGCGACTATCACAGCCACAAAAAGCTTACGGTCATTAACAGATACTGTACCAGAGTGCTATTGATCCTCTCATCTAACTCCCAGCGAGACAGAAAACAAGCCTGAGATGTCGAACTATTCTTTCAAATAATCACTGTGACATGTTCCAGGAGAGAAAAGCAGCCGACTGTTGAGATCAGAGGAGCAGCATCAGCACCTACTAACTGCTACTGCTGCTGCTGCTGCTGCTGCTGCTGCTTCCAACAGCTCACAATTAACTCTGTCAACACATCTTTTCTCCTGCGTTTATACCTTCACCTTCGCTGTCAGGAGGAACTGCAGAGAAGTGGAGGTAGAGAAAATGAGAAGGCTGGAAAATGACGGCTTGGGTTTTTAAATTTGAGACGTGACACCTGAGCATGCACATACCGAGGGTCGGCAGGTGGAAGTGGAGGTAGAGAGGGGAGTCTGCTGTTAGTGACATCCAGACAAGGAAACAGCAGGACAGCAGAGGAAGTTGTTAATTTAGCCGAGAAGATTTGAAGGCACCGAGATAAAAGGAGGGGAAGTTCCACTCCTCCTCGGGCCAATACCATTACTGTTTGGCCGGGCTCCAGGCCTCCAAGGCTGGCTAATATACAGCCGGAGTAGTGCGAGTGACACACTCTCAGGACACCCGGTCCTTTCACACACTTTCATTTGTCACGGAGATTAAGCATCTATTAGGACTACAGATCCACCCCTTGATTACTCACATTCATAATGTCTGACTGTAGAAGAGTTTCTGCGGAGGGAAGATGTATCACTCACTCACAAAATCATTACGCAGATGTTACTGGACCGTTTTTAGCCACGCTGACGGCAGTGTTGTGTCAGTCCAACACTTTGATCCAGACGGAAATATCTCAACAACTATTCATGTTCCCCAGAGGATGATTACTCATGACTTTAATGATCTTCCAACTTTTCCTCTGGCGCCACCAGCAGGTTGATGTCTGTGGCTTTTAGAGAGATTAAATAGAGACCCATGATTTTGCCGATATTTGATATGCTGATATAGAACAACTTATTTGGCCGATAACAATACATCCATAAATTATGGAAAATTCTGCAACTTTATTCCTCAAATGCTCTGACTAAATATACCTTGTTTTTCTGTATGTTCATACCCAGGTTTATCTTGATTTTCATATGCATTTTCATTTATGTAGGACTACTTATGTAACACCCTACTATTATTTCGATTGCTGTCCCCTAATAGTCGACCAGAAAGGTCATTAGTCAGCAAGATTTCATCAGTCGCTCAGTCGCAGAAAAAACAAACAAACAAAACTCTATCAGGAGCTGCGCCTTGTCAGAATAAATCTGAACCTCTATGACTGGACCATGTGTGACTTTACTTTGAAAGGACAGACACAGGAAGTGTCCTCGTCAGGTTAATTTCCAGGGCTGGTACCTGCGGTTATTCCACAGGCTAGTTAATAACATGTCGGGCAGGAAATCCAAAGTGTGGGATCATTTTGAGAAGGTGAAGGACGAACCCAAGGTGATATGTAAACTCATCTTCATTGGTCGTCTACAAACATGACGTATCATCTGAAACATGGAAGTAGCTACATGCCCATTAGCCCACAGCGTCATTAACAGGCGGCTCGCTCAGTGTGTGACGTGCACTTGGAGATAAAATATAGGCCTATATTAATGAAGGTTCATTAGTACGGTTTTGTATTTCTCTGTAATGTAGCACAGTGTTAACAATGTTACTGATACTATTCTTTCTCACACCTTCAACTCAAACCATTGTCACTGTACATAGGCAGGGTTACAGCATGTGTGCACTCTGCTTGTAACACACAGTGACATCATGGATCGGTTGCAGGTGGATGAAATAATAGATTATTAATGACGAAATATTAATGACATTCTCTTAAATATGAACATAGCAGAGATCAGAGCAGAGTTGCTGTCTGTCACCACACTAAAAGAGGCTCTGTGCACATTTACACATGAGGAGCAGCGTCACTTTACAGATTATTTCAGAGGCTAAACGTTTAGGTCTGTTTCCTCTGTCAAGCTTACAGATGAAGTTTTTAGTTTTGCTACTTAAATGTTGAATTAAGGCACTAAATTCAACTCCAGACCAGTGGTTCCCAACTGGTCCAGCCACGAGGTCCAGATTTCTCCTTAGTCAATAGTTTGAGGTCCCGTAGTTTAAGATATTTGGCTTTATACTTGCGTTTGGCCATGTCTTTGAGCTAGTTTGCTGTCTTTGTCAAGCAGCTGTCTATTAGTCACTCTCTCCACAGCAAATAACGGCAAATAATGTTTTTTTATAATCTTGACATATTTACGAGTCACTTGTGGTCCATTCAGTATGGGTCCGCAACCTATTTTTGGACCATGACCCACCAGCTGGGAACCACTGCTTTAGACCATGCACTATAGGGCCCTTTTTCCTATCAGCGTGTTAGCATTGTCTTTGAAAGCATGTTAGCATTCAGCTCAAAGCTCCACTGTTGCCTCGCAGCGTGTCAATCAATCAATCCGATCCGTGAGGAAACAGATGCACAGAGACTACTTTTAACTAACAGAGTGACGCTCTAAGTATCAGGTAAGCAGGCCGCTGTACCTCATCCATACCACTGAACATGTGTGTGTGTCTGAATAT